TCACTTAAAAATACTGACGATCTAGAGTATTTTACGCGAAAAATTCCAAGACAAATTTACAGCTTTGTAAAAATTTTACAAAAACTTTTTCCAGCGTCGAATTCGAGACAAAATCGAAAATAAATTTCTCCCTTTTTTCCCCGAAAACCATTAAGGTTTTCTCCAAAACCGGTCACAAAGCTAAAAGTTTTTCATCGAAAACGCAAAAAAAAACCATTATTTACTGATGACTTTCTTTTTTTCTGACAATAATGGGGTCTTTTCAGCCAAAAATGGCAAACTTTATTTTGATAGAAAATTAGCCTCATTCGTCGGTTCGCAGAAAACTTTAGAAAACCCATTTCAGCTTCGAATTTAGCACCAAAACCGAATAAGTGTATTCAGTTTTTTACCGAAAATAATTAGGATTATCTTGAAAAAAAAACGACCGGAGAGCTTTTACTTAAAAGTTTACAAAAAAATATTTGGAAAATTCGCCACCCTCATCGCTCTGAATATTTTTAAAGTTCCGATAGTTTATAATCATTTATTTGGAAAACTCTTGGAAACTGGAATTTCTTCACTTTTAGGTCAATATTTAAAAACAGCACTGTCTCTGAACAGAAAAATCACGTTTTTCCTAACGTTTTACTGTAAAATACAAACTGAATCTTTTGTGCAAAAAAGAAATTAAGACTTCGATTTTATAATAAAACTGGTCGACTTTCTTTGGACTCAGTTGTGATTCTGGGAAAATCTAGATTACTTTTTTTTAGTTGTTTAAACAACGCAGTAAAACGTTACTCAGAAACAATGTTAAAAACCCTTTTTATACGTGAAAATTCCAGTCTCGGGTTTCGTAAAGCTTTAATAAATCACTTATAACTCGTGAACCGATGAGTTATAACTCGTTAACTTAGAGACCGGCAACAACTCAATAGCGCAACTCAACACAGTGTTACCCAGGCCTAGTTTTCAGGCATCATTTCTTACTTCAAACATTATTGATTAAGGAAGCAACGGTAAATTTCTTTGAAAAGGATGATCAAAATATAAACTTGGCATTATGAGGTTTTAAAACATCGAAAAGTTGCGATACTTTAGCAACGCATGCAAAACAACCTAATGGATTTTGCAAAACTCACAAACGAAAACATCAATTCCACATCCAGAACAGTCGATATGGCATCATTCTTTGCACAAAATACATTCAATACATTTTTCTCCTTTTCCATCATCCACAAACTTTCCTTTGCGATAGAGGCAAGTTAACGGATTCTGCCTCTGAGGAGGAATGTTGAAGGCTGCTTTCTTCTTTCAAGTAAATACAAGATGGTCGATTTCGGCCATCTGATGATTTCTCTAACACATTGCGCTTCGCCCTTTTGGTTTTTTTTGAATTGACTCAATTTTCCAAAGTTTCAAAGTCATCTTTCAATGACAATAAATTGTATATACTTTCCTGACGGTGTTTCAATTCCAAATCAAAATTAATTCCTGGGTTTCAGTCATTAATTGTCTTTATTTATCAATTAAAATACGTTTCGGTGTATTTTCCACCATCATCAGTTTTTACGTGTAGCGTTGTTGCTGCTTTAAGCCTTGGCATACATTTTTACATATATTTGGCGAATAAAACATACAGCGAATAAAATATTGTTTATATTGATTTCTTTTACTTTCAGCTATTTTTCTTTGAATTCTGAGAATATTATTTTTGGTTTGCAAAATTTTTCAATACACCGGGTGTTAGTTCATATTCTATGTTTATTTCATTTAATTAATGTATGATATACTGAGCTAAGATTGTGGGTATCCGATCTGAAATTCAAAGCATTGTTAAATCTTGAAAAAATAAAAAATATGTTGTTAATAAACAACTATCCAAAGTCATTTTTTGAACCAATCATAAAGCAAAGGATAAATAAAATATACAATTCAACTAAATGGAAGAACATAAATAAAAGAAGAGAAGGTGATATCAAGTATATATCATTACCATATATTCCAGAAATTAACACAAAAATAAAAAATATATTCAAATCACATAATATCAACATAGCAGAAAAAACTAAAAACACCTTAGCAAATGAATGTTTCACAAA